TTTCTCAAACCTAAGATCAAAATAGAAAATTCTGAGAAACCTCAGAATTTATATATTGTTATTAATTTAAAACAGTTGATTTAACAAACTACAACACTCCTATCTGGATTGGTTGTATTTTATTGTATATTTTCTTCTAACGTTGTAACTTTTATATCGAAAATCAATTTAAAATGATTTAATTGGAGCAATTATTCTTTACTGTTAAGGGGCGTATTGATCCGAATCAGCACGGATTTTTTCATAAAAGATCCAACTTTACTAATTTGATCCAGTTTGTTCAGTCAGTGAGTGACAATGTGGAGCAGGGGTTCGAGACTTGTGCCGTTTACACCGATTTCTCCGAAGTTTTTGATAAAATACATCACCAAAGTCTTGAGTTGAAAATAGAGAATTTCAAAATCGGTTCACTCGGCGGCAGACTACGTATTGTTGCAGAGAGATTTGTCAAATTTTGAAGAATATTGTTCTCTGCACAGATTGTTTGTTAACCCTGAGAAATGTTTGGTTTACAAAAAACTGAACTTTTCGGACTCTGTAAAGGACCTGGGTATTACATTGAAAACATTGTTCAAAAGGCTCTCAAGGATCTCGGATTTATTTTACGGGTGACTAATGGGTTTAATAATAAAAAATCTTTAATAATACTTTTTTACAGTCTTGTCAGACCCGTGTTGGAATATGCTATGCCAATCTGGAATCCAATGTTTGTTAAATATATCGAACGGCTGGAGAGAGGTACAACGAAAATTTGTAAGTGATAAAAATTATAGATTGAATAGACATTTTTTTAGTTAGATTGAAAACCCTAAGCTTAAGCTTAACTTAGTTAGATTTTTTTGTCTACTGACAAAGTGTCTACTCCGGTCTGTAAAATACCTAATTACACACCGAACTAGCGTGCGGGAAGCGTCACGTTACCACGTCAGTTTCGTTTCCTACGCATCCGAGCCACTTCGGACATTTCCCGGATTTTACCGCTCGGGTTTGGGACCAATCGGATATTTTCGGAGATATTTCCCACGCTTTGAATTTTGACGTTTGTCAATTCTGGTCATGTCAGTGAATGTATCCATGTTGTTTTGCGAAAATGTACCCAAAAACTAACGGTCGTAGAAAAAGCATAGTATGCAACACGTTCGGTAAACTTTTGAAGTCACTCGTTTTTAAACACTCGCTCCGCTGCACTCCGCTCGTGTCAAACTCGTGAGTCAAATACCATTTACCGCACTTGTTGCATAATATACTATTTCGTGACATTTTGTGATTTCCTTTTATTTTACAGCTGCGTCTGTCTGTAGGAAAAAGTTTTTTTATAAATAAATAAATAAACTGTTCTTTGCTTTTTAATAACATTTATGTAGTTGCGCCACTCTATTACTACAGGGTGATTCATGAGTATCTCATTAAAATACGTCGAGAACTAAAACAGGAAACTGTCGCAATTTTGATTATTATATTATTATGAGAATCTATTTTTGAAATATGTCCACAGATATTGGGTTCACTCTAAAGCAAAGGAATATCTTATATTTTATTCAAAATCCTGATACAACACACAGATGTGTTAGTTGGGCAGTTTGATTAGGGAGGTCAGACTAACTAATTTGTGATTGCTAATTATTAACAATAAAGAATCGGCTTTTGCACAAACGAAATACTCCAAAATTTTGATTGATAGAATAGATAGATTATTTGACTGTGTTAACATACAAAGTACGTCCAAGTACAAAAAATTTATACGATCAGATGAAATCTAGAACAAATAGGTTTAAAAACGTAACGCATAGCATACAAAACACACAGTAATAAAAATTGGAAGATATCGATGACAATCAAATAGTGACAACTATCAAGAATCAGACAATATCCTTTACCAATTGTTTGGATTCCTCTATAAAAAATGGTTGTATTTTGGTTTTAAAATTGTGAAATGAAAAATTCGTGGACCTGTTTTGGGATTACCTTGTATAAGCTTAGGTCAGTGTATTTAAACTTCCTAGGTCGAAGCAAATTTGAAGAGGAAGTGGGATATCCCTCATTATCTGAGTGGACTGGTGTCATATTTCTCAAATTGTGTGAATGTATACCGATGGCAGCGCAATAACCCCCAGTTTCTGAAATTGAAGTTGATTGAGATAATCGTTTCTAATAAAATTTTCTAGTCCAAACTAACCAAAAGTTGACATTTCGGAGGCGCTTTACTAAATAATCAATATGATTCTTCTATCTACGACCACACCCATAACAGATTTCTCCTCCCACACATTTATATTTGTTCAAAACATTGACAAGTGAGTTTGGTACGCATTTAATTTTCGGCGATCGACTGTGAACCACCAAGAGTCCACTTTGCAAAATTAACCGCAGCCACAGGGTCCATATGGTCAAAAAATCTTTAATATAAACTAAAAACAATAATTTGATTGAGTTGACTGTTACTTGATGATAATCCATTACATACGTAATTTAATAAAAACAAACACTTGCTTTAAGATTACCACACACATGTTTATTGCTTTGACAATGGTTTCGGTACACTGTACTTCTTCAGAAAGAATCTCTAAACTATCACAGGGTTGATTATAGACTGTCCATAGAGTAGGTAGAATCTTTATCTAAGGGTTTAAGAGGGGAGACTTATTTAACTCGGTTTGATCGTTTAGTAGCAAACTTGTATATTTCAGTTTATTAATTTCTATTGTTTCTAATAAGTTAAATTTTTTGTACCTACCTACTGTATGGATAGTCTGTAATCAACCCTGTCACAGTTTAGAGATTCTTTCTGAAGAAGGTACAGTGTACCGAAACAATTGTCAAAACAATAAACATGTGTGTCGAAATCTTAAAGCAAGTGTTTGTTTTTATTAAATTACGTATAAAAACAATAATGGAGCCCTGTGCGACTCCGTGCATTAACATTCATAAACTTGACATTTCATTATCGCAAAAAAACTGCTTGCTTTCTATCATAACGATAAGATGATATTACAGCCAGTATTTGAAATTGTAAAAATATGGTGCCTTGTTTAAAAAAATCGTTTTTGAGCATTTTGGCTAGTTTCGGCAATCGACGATATTCTAAAAGCCCTGTGTTAGTTTCCCCGGAATTTTTTATGACACACTCAACGCAAATATAAAATATATACATTAGTATAAAATATATAAAAATCCAATTTTATACGCCACACAATATTTTGGCCGAAATACAATGTTTTCAAAAAATTTACTTATGGCATCTTTTAAAATTGTTTTCATATTATAGAGGTTGCCTCAAAAGAGTTAAAAATATCAACGTAGTAAATGCATATTATCGCAATAACGTTTTTGATACCTAAACCTAACAAAACCTAAATTGTTTTTTAAACAATTTTAATTTTATCAAAATATAACATATGTACAGCAAAGTAAATTTACTATCATATTTACCATGGTGTCGAAAAAAGAATTATAATCTTTTTTTTGTTGTTGTTATTTAAATAAATTTTTATTGCATCTAGTGCCTGCATGTGGTATTTAGAAACGATAGGCAATTTATGGAGATAGTCAGTCTTTAGATATTTTATATTGATCACTTTCGCCGATACTTTATATTTTCATACTTTTTGATATTGGTTAAAGTTCTATTATTAAAAGTTACAATGTTAAAAGTCAAAGGGCTGCAACAACTAACTACTCTAAATTATAACACAAATAATAACAATAATTAAGGATAATATCTTGTGTATAGGGTGGCTCAGTCATGTTTTAAAAATTATGAAAGGATTTAATTAAATTGAAAAATAAATTAGGTCCGTATTTAAAAAAAATAAGTTAATGATGGTCGCCAGAAGCCGAAACGTCATACTTAGTTATAGAGCAGAAAAAGTGCCCATTTTAAGTTAAGTTAACAAATGAAGCCAAAATTGTTCCGTTTTTTTTTTCGAATATTTTCGGAAATATTAGGAATTTTTCAAAATACAAATGGGCATTTTATTCAGCATCAAATTGCACAATTTTATACTGTATCTCTTACGGTTTTCGAAATACCAGTTTTGAATTTGAGCCACCCTAAAATGCTATAACGAGAACTGACTAATCAAAACCAACTAAAGATAACATGAAACTTAGTTGACAGCACAACAATAATGATCCAAATTTAAACAATTATAGAATATAATCTCACCTTGGTAAAATTAAACAATGCTGACAGCATAAAAATAATTATATCACATTTATAAATCCATAGGCAAGTCGACCCAATAAAATTTAATTTACTAATGGGCCGAAAACCGAAATATGTGAACAATCATGGACAGAATTAGGTATAGTAAAATAAGTTAATTATAAATTATAATCTAGAGATTTCCCCATTGATACATTAGGATGAATAGATTCTCTTCTAAAATAAAATCTGTAATAGACGCCCCTTAAATATATATATATATATATATATATATATATATATATATATATATATATATATATATATATATATATATATGATGACACTATATTCCGGGATATCATCCGTTCGCTCGTTGAACTCCGACTGGAATCCTGCATCCGACTGGATGCAGGATTCCAGTGTTCGAAGTGTTTTCGGAGCGCGAGCATTGAAGATGCCAAGTGAGATTTTGGCGAAACGTCTGCAGGATTCCAGTCGGATGCAAGATTTGCAGGATTCCAGTCGGATGCAGGATTCCAGTCGGAGTTCAACGAGCGAACGGATGATATCCCGGAATATAGTGTCATCACATTTTTCCATCCGTGAATCAATACGTGAGAATATATATATATGTATATATATATATATATATATATATATATATATATATATATATATATATATATATATATATATATATATATATATATATATATATATATATATATATATATATATATATATATATATATATATATATATATATATATATATATATATATATTAATTATTTCATTTACACACCACACCCGTCTAACATTGTAGCAAGAAGTGAACCCGACATTACGCTTACCCTTGATATCCCGCCTGCTGTCCAGACCCTAATCCGCTGTGTCCTGTCCCGTAACCTTGTCCCGATCCTCCAGACGACGCGCTGGAACTCGAGCTCGCGAAAGCCTGATTACCCCTACCTCCCCCGCCCCCGCCCGCGTGGTTTCCTACAAAATGAATGATGTCTTGTAGAGGGTTTAAGATATCGTTGGGCTCTACTATCTGAGGATTGTAGCCTAGAAAAAGAGAGAAAAAAAAGAAACCCGTTAACTGATCTGTTATTAATAATGAATCGCTTTGTTATTTATTATTATTTAACATAAATTATCAAGTTATAATTACATTAAGGCTTTTGATAGAATTCTGGCAATACCGTTCTTCACAACAAGTTCTTTTGAAACATCTTATTAATCAATGTTAAATTATCTACTTTGCGTAAACATATCAATCAATCGAGCAGTCACATATACAACCTGATTGAACATCTTGTACTTTCCTTCGGAGTAATTTACATAGTCTTGTCTCTCCTTCATTTTCTCATAAAACGAATGGACAAATAAAAAATGTTCTAAAAGGGTAGATACAGAAAGAATCGTTGATATCATTGTTCACAACGCTATTTTCTTCGATTCATGTTTACAGAAAAAGCTGTCATTAGCTTATCTGTTACTAAAAATGTTAATACGGTCTAAATAGGATTTCAAAAAGCTAATAAGAGAACTGGATAAATCCTGAGCACTCAATTTATTTAGCAAGAAAGTGACTTTTGTCACGTTTGTCGAATGCTTTTGTGCAGTCAGCACAAATAATATTAGTTTGAAGTCAGTTTCCATTGTCCTAGTAACTGTCTTGAACTCAACCAAATTCTGATATATAGTTTCTTCCACCTCCTTGGTTAAATTAAATCTAAGTTAATATTAACGGTCAAGGGGAAAGCAAAAACAGTTGTGCAATCTATCAAAAAAAAAAATGCTGGGATTTCATCCGGGCCAATAGTAAATCTCGGTCTTTTTGCCTTAAGTATGTTAAGAACGTCAGACTCTCTAAATGCACTTATTTTTAAATAAAGTGTACTAGAATCCTAGATCACTGACAACACACAACTTTTGATGAATATCATGAAAACTTAGTTTTTTTGCAATTGGCTGTGAATAAAATTTCATAATAAAATACATTACATTAGATTTTTAATTCTAGAACAGTATGATCACTTGATATGGTCTGGTGGTTTTTAAAGTATGAGCAAAATTGCTTCTCGAAGAAGCAAGAAATTCTCTAGTGATTTACTGCATCCACAGCGTCTTTTTCAATACAAATGGAAAAATACCACAGTTTATGCAGTTGTCAAAGCACCTTTGTACTGCGTATTTTTTTTCCTAAAAAAATATATGTTTTTAATTGGTTTGTGGGTACTGCGAAAGCTCCTTTAGGCAATTTTTTTTTAACAAAATTTTTACAAAATATGAATTGTTGGAGTTAGAAAAAAGTTGCTTTTTTCGTTCTTACTCTTAGATCTCCCCTCCCCAGCTATATCATTAGGCGCATTCAAAAAGGAGGTTAGAAAAATCCAAATTCTAAATCCGTGAATTAAAGTATTAAATATTCGATTAAGCCATCGCCCCAGATCAAAAATACTCTCACGTAATTACAGTAAAATGGCGTAACAGTACCGCGCATTCAAATTCTGCTCCGGAAGAATTTAAATACCGTATTTGCGGCAAAAAGTAAGTCGGTAGGCCAGAAAAAAATCGGGTTTGGTTTGAAATTCGCCGTGAAATTGAAGATACCTGATAGGACCGTTCGAAATGATGTTAAGAAAAACTGTCTTAGTTGGTGTCGTATGACAAAAAAAAAACTAATTAATAATTGATCCGTGTTCGCACTGTTTTTTTTTTTTTAAATTCGAAACTACACTACATATATGAGCCGTTCATTTTGAAAGTGACTTAAGTCCATTTATCTTTAATTTGAAATACTTAAGGTTTTGCGTTTTTACAAAATTAAAAATATTCGTAAGATATATGGTTGACTTGTAATGTTAAAACGCATTTAAGGGATTTAATTTTAAACATCCTATTAAAACGTCGCTATTATAAAGTATATAATATAACCTTGCTTACCTTAAATGGACTTAGGTCACTTTCAAAATAAAAAATTGTTTTGCTACAAAAAGTCCGTTACCTTAAAAAATAGAAAAAAATGCATTTAAATTATATTTTTAGATAATAGAAATAAATTTAGTAACAAGTGATTCGTTAACATTCTTAATATGCGGGAGTGATTTGAAGTAGTGATGGTGTTCCGGAGGTATATACCGTAATAAGTCTATCATGTGTCGGTATTTTAGTGTTGTGATGCTTCTTATACTTTTAAATAACAATGACAATACAATATTTTCAAATTTTTTAGGTCTACCCCGACGTGGCAATAAATCAAGAATTTTAAATTCTACGTTCTCATCCATGGTTAGTTGTATAAAATTTTATATGGTTCATTTCTTAAAAATCGCATCCAGCATGTTTGGTATTTTTGGATCTTCTGTAAACTGCTTCTTCCAAGAGTCTTGTTGATATAAAATTCTCTTGTTTTTTATTTCATTTAGTATGAAAGTATTACCTTTTGCACATTTTTCAATTATATTTCTTTTTAACGCCAAAATCTCTGTCATTAGGTAAAAATGAATGCCCTGATATTAAAAATTTGTGGTCTATGATTTCCACATCATTTCCCATCGAGAGAATTTTTAACCGCATTAAAGATATTTTGATGTTTCTGTTTTGTCCTCCACACATGTCGCTATATGCAATGATGTGTTTTTCACGTTTTAGGGTTTTTAGGTGTCTCAAGAGGCATGAAGCCACTTCTTGGGAACATCTAAAAGCTTTTGTTTCATCTCCATCTCTAACGTACATGTATCGTTGTGGAAATTGTGCCTAAATTTAAAATATACATGACATTTATAATAAGGTACTGAAGTTTGGGAATGGTAACGCTTTCTGCAAATTGAATGAAAAGCCAAAATAATGAGATACTCGCTCTTGATCTTGTTTTAACGCATTTCTAGCCGATTCTGCTAGCCTGAAGTGAATATCATGTTCTTCCATAAGTTTTTTCTGTTCTTTATGGATTTCTGAATCTTTGACTTTAATGTTTAATAGATCATATTTTTGACTTATGTCTTTGCGTGGTTGGTGGAAATGTAGATTAAAATCCGTTTTGAGTATTTTTCTATAAGTCCTTTCATTAACTACTTTTAAATTATTTTCTTCACAGTGAAGTCATAAGAATTAAACATTTTTTTATAGTCAATTCAAGATGAAGATATTTTTTGTCGGAATTATGGTCCCTAGTATAATGGGATTCAAATTTCGGGAAACTGCTTCATCACATATTTTTCTCGACTATCCAGGCAAACGCCCACGTAAATCGTTGCCATCGTTTTTAGATTTTAATACACGTTTCAATAGTCCTTCGCTTATTTGAAAAGTATCTAAAAAGAATTTTTTACAAACAGCACCTTTGCGTGTTTTAGAATGTAGCCAATACCGTTTCTCTGACGTCTTTTTTTTACAACACTGCGCCCGATCGCTTCATATAGCAATATATTTTGCTTATAAACTCCTAAGTCCCAAAACATTTCGAAAGTACGTTTTCTTTCTGTTTCAATTTAAATATTTCAAGCAGTCCTTTCGGCATTGGCAATTTTCATTTTGAAAAACTTTGCCAGGAATAATTTTTCGCGATTGTGAATCCTTCTTTGAAGGTGTTGTTTTATAAATTCTCATTCTAAATTACTTCCTCTTCCTCTGTTGAAAAAAAATTAAATATTATTTTTTACATTTCAATTTAATATCAAAACATAATTTAAATTACATTCATCACTGCCTTCAACATTAGGGCCGCACTTTTTGACGTCGTCAATAAAAAGTGGACTTAGGTCACTTTTCAGTATTAATATTATTTTGAAAATGTACGTGATATAAAATTTTCGAATTTACTAAGTATATTTCAATACCGATTTATTTTTTTGACAGTTCAGTATAAATTGTAAATGTCACAAGTGCCAACTTGATGAAAGATCAAAATGGATTCAAGCCACTTTCAAAATAAACGGCTCATATAATGTAAATCACGAAAGAAGACAATTTCCTCAGTAGACTATAGATTCATAATTTTTAATGTATTAGAAAAAGACAATTTACCAATTTTGTTGTCTTAAGCAAACAGTAAGGCTGATGCAATTAATGTCAGTTTGACAGATTACATTTTTTGAAAGCTAGAGAGCTATTTGAATAACAAATTCCTTCCAATTTTTCATCGGGTGATTCAAGAACTAATATATAAGATATTTATCCACTGTTGCAATAATAAAACGCATTTAAAATCCAACCATGACGTAATAAAGTCACCAAGAAATAAGAGACCCGGAAAAAAGACAAAGACGACTGATTTGACTCATGTACGAGACACGGTGTATCAAATGTAAAGTATAAAAATGCAATTTTAGAAAAATTGGTCACAATAGCTACTTTAAATAGAAGGGTTAAAGAGCAAGAACTGGCTTTTATCAGCAACAGTTCTTCGCCGCTATTGTTCAGCTTAAGTTTTAAATTCAAAAAAGTGTAAGAAGGTACACTGGGCTTTCAAGGGAAGGGATTTATTGTCGTCTATACAGGGAATGAAAAAAGATTTGATTGAGATATGAATAGCGAATATTTATTAGGTGGTTAAAAAATTACTCCGCATCACAGCATTTTATCAGAAAAGGTTTTTTCAAAAAATATATCAGCGTCTGGTTGGTTAAAAACAAAATTGAATTTCAGCTAACATTAACAAAACTAGAATTATTAGATAGAGTGAAGTAACATGAATTACTTTGTACCTCTCCGATTCAGTGTGAGTTCAATGCTATTGAGTTAATATGGCCGCATGCTAAACAGTATTATAATAGACATATAGGAAGAGACGGTCATAGTGACGAAAACTAAAATTATTAGTAGTGAAAAGAAATCGCAAAGAAAAGAAATATGTATTGGATTAAATCATCAGAAGTTATAGTCATGAAGTACTTTGTACCTAGTATGATAGGCATATCGGAAGAGACGGTCATGAAAATGTTTTAGCTATGGGTAATGAGCTCCATTACAAATTGTACACGAAGTTTGGAGAAACTGTGTGGAAAATACCAATAAAATCATTTGGGAGTGGTATAACGAAACCATTTTGAATGAAATAGAGCCCATGATAATTTCACTGGATTCAGAAAGTGACACTGAAAGTGAACTTAGAAGCTTTAAATGGAAAAACTCTCATTTGGCACGAATAAAAAATAATTTATTGTTTATAATAAAATTTATATTGTATTTACATGTATTATATGTATTTGTATTTATATTTATTTGTGTTAATATTTGCCTATTTCAGCCTCTCGTTAAAATCAATTTGTTTTTTAAAATAAATTGCCTTTTGTATCTGCTTCCTATTTAAACATCTAGTTAGAACTAATCCTAATATTAGCAAACTTCTATTAACTAAAAATATCCAAGAATATTGATATGATAACTATGAATCTGTAACAATTAACTTACAGATCCTGAATATTAATAATAAAAGTTTTTCGGACTAAAAGAAATTTAAATTTAATAAAATAATTTAATGGTCTAGAATTATGAGAGGTAATGCTACAAGGATCTTACTTTAGAATACTTGTCGTTTTTAGAAGATTGCAAAATATAACTCATGTGACTAGATAAACTTCACTTTTAAGCCAAACTAATTTAGTACAGAATGCAATAAAATTACGAAATATAAGGAAAATAAACATAATTATAATAAATTTTCGCCGCGTAACCTTACTGAATAACTCGTGTCAGTAGCGGTCATAACATAACCATTAGTTATCTTTATTTGTTTATGCAATTTATGATATGACCATATTGCAATCTTTAGACATTTTTTAAATTTTTTAGAAGTCTAAAGTCATCTTTTTTTTTTTTAATTTTCAACTTTTTTTATAAATGAAAAGACCTTATAGCATGCCTTGTTTTTATTTTTTTAATAATGTTTACAGAAGAATTTAATTCAAAGAAGTCAGTCCTTACACCGTTTTAAGATATATTCCTTTCCTTGGCTGCAAAATCTGCGCTCATCACACGGGCGATACTACTACAATTCAAAAAATGGTCGCAAAATCTTCCAAAAATGAAAACGGATAGTCACTGCAAGAATCAAACATAATACGTTTTTCGCAAGTTTGATGATCTACTAATAATTTTGCTGTACATCGTCTAAAACCTATACGCTAACCAATGAATGTTTTACATTCCAGCCGATTATTAGATATGGGATCAATTTGGATGTTCTTGATGCTAAATAGAGCTACAATATGTTCTATTTTCAAGTTCAAGCTGACGCTATGGTCTATCTTTTAAAACACATTCGTTCACGTAGACAAATAAAAACCAGACTGTCAAAAAAATATTCTGTTATTATAAGCTTAAAAAAAATTCCAATACAATTTGTAACTGCGCTATTTAAATTTGTGTGGACTTTTAGAAGCATCCCTCGACGGTAGTTGGCAATGGGCGAATATTCTTGGTTGACGTGCCCACTTTAAGGAAAAGCAAAGAAGAAGAAGAAGAAATTCGTTATTGGATTCCAGGAAAAAAGATCCAGTGAATTCATCTATGATCTGTCGTTTTGATTGGTTCGAAATTGCAGGTGTGAAATTCTCATTAAAACATATTTCACCTATATGAAAAATGTATTTGGATGCTTCGTTGGATTTTTTTATACCCGCCGCAACCAACATACCAACAACTAACCATAACAATTAAGAATATTTTTTGTCATTTAACGATACTTGACAAATTCTGTAGGACGTTTGCATGACTGCAGATTTTTCATCATTAAATCACGGGAATGACAATTCTCCCTGTACTATTACTAGTGAGTCCTTAAATTTTGGTAATCAAGTAGGTATGGTCTGTTCATAGATATAAGAAAGTGACCAATTGCTTTTGAACGGATTATCCAAGGGTCGTCATTAACATACAATGCGACAAGATTATTATTAATTAATAAATAACAATTAATAATTAATAATTAACTAATTAATAATTACCTTAATATTAATATTAATATTAATAATCTTGTTATGACCACCCTTGGATAATCCGTTCAAAAGAATTGGTCACTTTCTTATATCTATGAACAGACCATACTTAAGTTTTATTATAGAATAATTTGCCGCCTTTAAAAGATTGATCGATGGATGATTGTATAAACATAAATGGTGCTTTCTACTCCGCAAATAAAGATTTGAAATGTAATCAACTTGCTATAACCACGTGTTGCGATCCTATATCATTTCATCAGTTCTTTAAAGTTAAGTTTTGCTGCTCAAACCTATGCATAATCTTCATAAGCTACATTTAATTTTTCTTTTTTATCAGAAAACCATGGTGGCGAATATAAATCTCAAAAAAACAAGCATCGTCATTCATAGCGGTCAAGACGAAATTAAATTGGACCACCAACTTTATCGATTCAGTTCATGAGTATCCGGCAGCCTTGGAGTGCTGTTTCGAAACATGAAAATGTCGATGTGGGCGAACAAGACTCGTGAGGGGCTCTTGGCAACAGACCCATAGAGAAAAGCCCTTTCATTCGGAACCTTATCAAAATCGATTTTGCTAAGGGAACACAAGTACATGGCACGAATTGAGCAAGACGACGTCGCAGCACGATTTTTCTAGTCGGGTGACAGTGGCGTGCAAGATTCCAGAAGATCACTGTCTTTTTTGAGTGTTATTAAATGACCTGTATTTGGCAGCGTGATTCCTCAAGTAGTTTTAAAGCAACAACTTACTATAAACGGATGATCTAAATTGCTTCCCTTCTTTACATTATCTTTACACAATCTCCTAAATAATACCTATTTCTTAACGAAAAAATAAAATTTCTTTATAGGAGGAGCGCTCCCTACATATCTTCTCTCAACTTCCGTGGCTCGTGATTTGTTTGGATGACGTTATTTAGGAAATTATGCTAAAAAAAACAAAAATAAAAATAAAACTTTAACCGTCTGAATCTCCATTTTTTTTGTATGTTTAAGCTATTTCTCTTGTTTCTATACAGGGTGTCTCAAGTTATCTTTGCACTATTTGGATCCTATAAGAGGTTTAAATTGGCGTAATTATGACCCTTACATGTGTATTATTTAGAAGTTATATGATTGAAGACAAATTTTGATATAGGCTAGCAAATATTCGTTTGAAAATATTCAATTACAACATTTTCATCGCTTTTTATAGTTCGTAACACGATTTCATATAGGAAAAACTCTAATTAGTATGGGTCCGATTTATACCTAACCGTCATAGTTTCAATAACCTAACTTCCATTATTTTAAACTTCCAGTATATTGTTTCATTTTCGAAATTCTGAGAAAATTTCATGGCAGGTTCCTTAAGTTTATTTTATATCTAATTCCAACAGTTTCTCAAAAACTTGTTCTGGTTTTCTAGTCATTAAAATCTTAAAGTTATTTTAAATTATCATCTATTTTAACAAACTTATACTTGCTGTTGGTTTTATACATTCAGAACTACGAAGATAATTTTTTTTTAATATTAATAATTTGCTGTTTTTTTTTTAATAATTTTAAATAATGTTGCAAATTATTCAAAATCGAATAAATTTAAAAACTTTTTGTAAAATTAAATCGAATTTTTAATTTTTTAGAGGAACACAATTTTTTTGTTTGTTGCAATGATTTTTAATAACACTTAAACATTTTATAACAATTGTTTTTAAGTAGCCAAAGCATTGGTATTTATACTAGGCGTATTAACAAATTATTTGGATATCAACATTTTTATTTCAAATAATTATTATTTCAAAAATCTACCAATGAAGAAAAAAATGTCATCACAAAATCGGTAAAAAAACTTATTTAAATAAATAATAATATCAATATTTTGAACTAATCTTAACCAATTTATAATTAAACAATTCAAGTAGGAAAAATAACAAATTTTAACAAATCATGAATAAAATTATATTTAGAAGGTAAAAAACATAAAATAATTAATAATTAATTATGGAAGCGTTTATGTACCTACGAAGATAAAAAATGTTTTTTGTATGAAAAATATTAATATTTTTTTTTCAATAATTTTAAATACTGTTATCAATTATTCAAAATGAAATCAATTTAGCAAATTCTTCTTCCAATTCCATCTTATTTGTAAAAATAACAAAGATTTTTATTTTTTGGCGAAACCCATATTTTATGTTTGTTGTTACGATATTTAAGAGCACTTAAAAAATATCATATTTTCATATTAGCATATAAAAAATCGTAATTGATATTATCAACTGACAAACATAAAATTCTACTAAAATAATTGCGGATCTGCACGATATAAAAAGATGAAGCTTTGAAGTGAGCATTATGACAGTCTCATGACATTGATTGTAATTAAATAATAATTGCTGCTTGATTATTAAGAAATTTTATTTCAAGCGCCTCCAAGATAATTAATATTATCTGAGATAGCAGAGTTAGTTTTAATATGGGCACCTAATATGATTATGGAATATGCGCCAACTTTTGACAATATTATTATTTTAGTTGTGCAGTTCGTGACAAAAAAACGTTGCCCACTAAAATGACCACATGTTGTATATGTTAAACTGGCCATCCAGATTACCCGATAGTCTAAAATCTAAGCGTTATATAACTTACCGTAAGCTCCTGGATTGTACCCTCCGCCGCCACCCGCATTGGCGCTACTGCTCGACGATGCCGAAGCACTGGCATGGGACGATGCTGAGGCGTAGCTGTCGCCTCTCCTTACCCTCGGCAAATGGTCCATGATGTCCCTCCTGTTCCTGATAAATACGACGTCGGACTGGTGGCCAAATTTGTCGATCACGTAAAAAGATTTCGGGACATATTGACCCCTATCTAAATAAATAAAGTACTTTCAGTTTATTATATCACGTCATTTAGACCACTAGATAGTCAGACCGTTGTACCTATTTGGCCTTACACTTGGTCCTAAGTCATTTGTACAGGGCAGTCCATTTAAGATGTTCCTATGCCCTATCTCAATAAATATGAGACTGAGAAAAAAAAGGTAAATGCGAAAAGTGTTTAACCCATTCCCGTATAGGTTTCATCGTGCTACGATAGTAACCAACTTTATTTTATTATTTTATTTTTATTTTATTATATATTATTAATGATATGAATATTTTTAAAAATTTCAATTATTTGCTTCATGTTGAGTAGTTTTTGAGCAAAATAAACAATTCCATTTGTGTTACAAAGGGTTTTTTTTTGTTGCGCCTGAAAACTAAAATACAATAAACTAAAGTAGAATAAAAAATAAATAAATAAAATAAATTTTATGTATTTTTATCATATGTTATTTATTGTTTATATATGGCACAAATATGTTATACAGGGTGATTACAAATGTCCTTCAAAAAATGTTTTTCTAATTCAAAAAAACTCTATTTGTTTAAATAAAACACCCTGCATTTAGCACTTTAATTATATTTGGGATTTGATTCTGTATCATTTCATGTATTTAATTATTAGAAAAAACCGGTAGTTTGGAAGTTATAGTCAATTTTCTGCAACAACTTTTGTATTTTATTTTACATCTAACTAAACCTATATAATATTTTTTTCTATGTAAAATTTTTTTAAAACATTAATTAAGAAATTAATTGCAAGTAAATTGAACTTATTGCTAATTTTAAAACATTTTCTACATAACCTCTTTGACAATATCTGGTTTTAATTTTCGCAATAGCATTGCACTGAGTCTGTCTACCTCTTGCCGAGTTCTCATTTTTAGGTCTTGAACACTGTTACACAGCCCCCTAAAAAAAAAGTCCAGGTGTGTCAAGACAGGACTCCGCGCTGGCCAGTCCATGGTCTCGTACCGACCAATCCAAAGTAAACACTTCGGTATGATATTTAAAATAATTACTTCTTCAATTAATCAATTAATGGTGTCCGAAAAATTTAAATCCCACCATTCAGAACAAAGTTATAAATTACTGGGAATATTGTTCGATCATGTATAATGTAAACACGTCTCCGACCCTGTTTCTTAATTTCTTTGATATTTATTTGAGATACACGAGTAATGAGTATTTTCTCTGTTGAACATACCGGCCGTATGGCTACTTGCATTACTTGTTGATTTTATATTGAATTTCAGTAATTAAATTTAAAAAAAAAACTTAGTTATAATAGGATATTACATAGGTTTAGTTAGATTTTAAAAAAATAAATCTCAAATCCAGTATAACTGCTAAATACAGGTTGCTCCATTTACAAAAATGGAATTTTTTAAATTATAAAAAATGATGATCATTTGTGACACCCTGTATAATATATCTTCGCCACATATACGTAAATTTTACCACTTCTATGGATCCATCATAAAAATTCCCAATTTTAGCTGTCAAATGTAAAAAACAATTTTTTTCCAAAGACCTGTCACAAAAAAATGGAAAAGTTCAATTTTCTCAAAAACTACTCAAAATTTCGTATGCTATGTAATGACTAAAATACTCAAAATTAAGCATTCCATTTAAAATAATAAAGTTGGTAACATTTCAGAAGCGGTCCGGCAAAAATACGTTGGAAGGTAGGTGCTTGTCTTTTTTGGTAAATGGGTCAAATTTATTTTGGGGTGGTTCTGTGTCTATATCTTTTTCTAAGCGGTAAGAGCCCATAGTGCAATTTTGTGGCAAGATTCATCCTTTTTCTTACATTAACTTAATGTTACGCGTCATGTAAAAATTTTTTAGTCCTTTTCACTTCAGTTTGGTAGTTTGTCGTTGCCAACTTTATATTCGGGAATTTAGGTTACGTTTTGCAACACAGGTAAGTATGAATCGAACGAAAGTTTTGGACTAATTTTCAACGTAAGCGCAACCAAGTAGCAGCGGTCCAAATCATGTGCCCATTATCGATATTTTAATTAAATAATTTAGTTAGTTAATTAAGTTGAGAATTTATAAGGGATATTCGTTTATTTCAAGTTTATATAAGATGCTTTTAGTCGCTCTTATTTTTATAAAAAGCAAGTGTTTGCATATTAACCCAACATCAATATGTGGTGCAGTGCTTAAATAGTATGCTTAAAATCCCCTAAAGTAGAATTACGTTTCGTATGACCAAATTCGGGGGTCATCCACAGGTTAGGTAGACAATTAGCTCTTAAAACAATACAAAAAAGAAGAAATGATTCAGGCACTTAATGGATAAGTACTCCTCTCGCAACAACTTTGCTTTGTTCAAATTCAAATCTAATTTGCAATTTAGGTACATTTAATGCCTGGTGTAAATCATATTTTTTGCATAATTTGCATCTTGATTTGAATTGAAGTGAATAAAATTGGTTTTTCCACTGTTCCATTGGAATAGATATCGCAGATGTGACGAGAAAAAGACGGTATGTACGTGTTTATTTACTTAAATATAAAATCGGAATCAAACCACTCACTTTATTTATTTTTCCTTTTTTTTAAATAAATATTACCTATTATTTTATTTTTAGGGGATAGTAATAAATCTCACAACTTTTGGATTTAGCATATCTTGATATACAAGGTCTGCCTAAATTGATTTAAACCTTATGGGCCTCCCTGAATATGATAAAAAGGAACAAATTTCAATGCCTAACTGTTAAAATCGCATGAACAATTGGAATATTGAGGATCCGTATTTTATTTTGAAACACCCTGTATATTTAGCGTGAAAAATGACAACACTAATCCTACTGATGTGGTTTCAACATCGCACGGAGATTGAATGAATAAAATTCCCACAATAATTTATTTATAAAACTTTATGATTGTTAATTTTTTCAATTTCGCTAGTGAATCATCAATATTTTTACACATCCTCTTTCGAGCCGGCAAATTTGGATAATTGAATATTTACACGCCATTAAGATAATGTAAACAATGTAGCCAACATTAAATTTAAAAGCAATATTTTACGCATTCGAAGGACAAGTAGGACAAGTAGCCCGCAAATTTTCCTCTTTTTTTTAGTATATTTTAGACAACTACAGGTTAATTTCCGTAGTCTTTTTAGGGTAAAAAGTTACTAAAATGTTTCGTTTTTTGTGATACCGGGTTCCAAAGTTTTATTATTATTTTTGATTTTCCTGAGTAATTTCTAAAACAATGAATGAAAATTGGTACCTGGGAGTAGGGGGCGCCACCTAGGTGTCCTTTTTCATTTTCAAATATTCGTCACCTTTTGTGGAACCCTTAATCATTTTCTCTTAATAGAAACCGTCAGGAGCAACCGTTTTCAAGACATTTTGGTTTGTAGTTATTACGTGTTTAAAAAAAATGAAACAATTTTGTAAAACAACTGTTTGATCAACATAAACAGCACTAAATAAAAACGTGGTGAAGCCGAATCAAAATCACAATAAATTTTGGAAATCAAAATAAAATTTTACACTGTCTCACGTAAACTGTAACTGTTCACTTTAAAAATAATTGCCAAATCACCCTGTACAATATCGGACACTAATTGGAATGGAAAACATTCTGCCTACCGAATAATGTATAAAAACCAAGTATAAAGTATAAAATTGTTTGATTAAATACTTACAATACGCAAAACAAACTTGAAGAAAGCTAAGAGCAACGAACAAAATTGCTGAATTCATCGTCGGGCACTCGTACCGTCCAAATTCCAATTTAACTTTGCGAGCGTATTGTTAATTGATGACTGAACGCTCTTCCGATTCTACCTCCGCCTTATATATTGGCGCTAAACTCGGAAATACCTGTTTTATTTACTGTTTGTTGAGTTTTACGATTGAAATTTCGCGCTTGGCTCTTAAATTTTCGCAAAGAAACAGTAGATACGAATCTGTCAAGGGGATTATGTTCAATGGAATCGGAAATGTATTTTCGAAAATGCAATTGGGAAGTAAAAGTTTCAGGTGCAACAAAATTTCTTTCGACTGCTCCGCACTACGCGCTACGTAGTCTACAAAGTAAACTACGCAGCTGTGTATTTTAAAGGCTTCTCGTTGCGTTTTTTTTTCTAGCGGAGCACTATGGATTTTTCGCAAAATCGATGTAATTTTATTACGCATGCACCCTGTATAAAATGTCTTCCACGTCTCGTCGAACTTCCAATGATATTTTTTCAAGTAACTCGCGCACCCTGTATCATTTACATTCATACTATTTACATCCAGTTATTTTATTTATTATTATTTTTACAAATTTTTCATTTACTGCTAATATTTTACCCACAAAAACTGCAATTTTCAGGGTCCTTTAGATATTTTGCCCATTACAGACACACCCTGTACATAATCCCAAAAATGACAAAAGTAAAAGTTAGAACCCTGGATCTTCTACGTGTCCCGGTATATGAATCTTTTCGATAGAGTAATGGTTTTCGAGAAAATACTTGTTTTCTGAAACCATGCAGTAGGTCGTAATAGTAAATAACGTCATCGCTTGTAGATTGAGCCCTGGATATAGCCACAGTAACATGGACTTTTCAAATATCTCGAGAAGCTTGTGAGATAGACGAAAACCGTAAATATAAAAATTGTAGCTCTCGAAGGACTATCTAAACCAAACAGCCATATTTTTCATGAATTTTGATTTACGGCTAATACTGTACCCCCAAAAAGAACATTTTTCAGCGTCTTTTAGATATTTGTCCATAATTGAAAGATCTTTTATAAAATCGGGTTAATAGTTAATAATATGTGAAAACGTTAAATAGAAAAGATATAGCTATCTAAGCGGGCTATACCATCGTGTAAAAATAACTGACAACTGATACATCGTCTTCTAGTTATGACCAATTTTCATTAAAATATTAACTAATTTTTAAGTTTTTTGCAAATTGCCGACGCACCCTGAACATTTTTAAAAATTCGTCAAGTAAAGGGGATTTTGGCCTGGATCTCGCATCTTTTGGTTCAAGAATTTTTTGGAACGTATATGACGTTCTTATGAAATGTTTTTTTTCTCGAAACCCAGCAAACGCGTTTTTTTTTTAAACAATTTTATTTATAATTATTAGAAGTTGACAATATTCCCCATCGTGCATGATAACATTACTGACTGAAGATGATCTCAACCACAAACAGGTCTGTGAAACTATGATGAAATATGAAACTTAAACCCACTTTTTGATCGTCAGATATTGTTTAGAAATGAAACCACGTTTTGTAAATAAATAAAAAAAAATTGTAGGTATTTGAGGACAAATAATCCTCTACGGATGAGAGAATATCATACACAACATCCAAAAAAATATATATTTGGGTAAGGATTTTGAATAACAAAATTACTGTATACTTCTGTCTTCGATCAAAATCTTAATGTACAATTTCTTCAAAGTAACTTAATTCCTACTTTCATAATTTCATCCAAATCAGCACGATATTCAAGAGGTTGGTTTAAACAGGATCAATAGAGGGGAGTATAAGATCTCTACATATTACTCCACTGGATTTTTTCCTCTGAGAATATTTAAAATCAAAAGTGTATAAGAAAAAAGCACAAAATATTGTACTAGATAATTGATCTCGTAAAATTCAACATCTAATAAAGGCAACAAGGGAAAGTATCTTAATTCAATTCAAACAACAAGATATATTTATGATATCACGAGATGTTATTTAGAAACTTCCCCCAGCCTCTCCTAGATTTATTACTTATTCATTTATTGAACTTTTTTTATGGGGTCGCCTAAAAATATTATTTTTTCGTATTCGACATACACTTGAAAACCTATATAACACCACTCGTTAAGAACATGCACAAATACCAAGCAAGGAATATAATAATTTCAAATGCATTACGTAGAACTATAAAAGTGTCTGAAAAATGTATACGCTGTTAAATGCTCAAAAAATATAAAATTCTCAAAAATTTATATTGAACGTTATTTTTCGAAATAGTAATACACAAGTATATATTCTTTAAAAGTTGAGAACAAGGCGCATAAGATTATACAAGAAGAAGAAGAATATACAAGATGTACCATTAAAAAAAAGTAGTGCCCCGTATCTTCTTGACCTGGCTCCGATTAGTCGAAAAATAACTGTGGTAGAAGAAAATACAGTAATAACGAAGATCCTTGCATTTAATACCAAAATTGAATTCACTGTACATTCAGATCAAAATGCTGATATAATTATCCTCGACTTCACGGTAGAATCTTAGGAGAATCTCACGGTGCCTTCATGGTGTCGTGAAAAGCAACGTACGTAATTCCTCTTTCCTTAAGAAAAAGAAACAGCGAGATGAAATTGGTCTTAAGAGGTCTTCATCGAATAAGCCCCACTCTGTAAGTGATCCTACCGGCTGCGCCTATTATATTCGATGTATTTAGAAAATACAATCTTAAGCAACAACAACAAAACTAAACTGACCTCCGCGATCTCACGGTCGCTTCTTAGTAGCGTCGTGGAAAAATGCTGACATGTTAGATCTCACGTGCCTTCTACGTATCGTTGTGGAAATCAAATTGGCAAATCACGTATTGATATTTTTATTTTTATTAAAATTAAAATTAAATTAATTAATTAATTAAAATTAATTAAAATAGACGATAATTGTAATGTAATTGTAATTGTAATTGTAATAAAATATTACAATTTTCGATGCAAAAATTTCTATATTTACTGCCTTAAAACTAAGGAATCATCACACCAGCAAGTGGAGTTCAGTGTGTTTGAGTACTTAGTTTCCTGACAGCAATGTGTCCTATTTTGTTTTTAATATCAAAATTAACAAGTTCTGAATGGGGTTCAACGGTACCTATAATGGTATGGCAGTATAGCGTTTGTTAAATATTAGACAAAAGATGAACGAAGGATTTTAAATAATCAAAACTGCAAATACTTACATAAACTGCTGAGGATGATTCAGATTTAAATAGATTCTCCTAGTAGAGGATATTGCTCAAATATTCTTAATAACAATTTTGCAATTAAAGTTAAATTTAAGGGTTAGCTAAATCAAATAAACTGATGAAGATTTTTGGTATAAATATGTATCAGCATAGATACATAAAATTAGGGCCTTATCTAAAATTACAGTTAGGTGCTGTTAATCTATAGCGTCAATTTCAATAACAATATTACTGAAATGAAGAGTACATCAACGATTTTAATTCCAAGGAAAAAGGCAGTAATAATTTTCCCTTATTAGCGAACGAAAAAGTTGTTTGATGTCTATGGACACGATAATCCCCAGTTTTAAGACAGGTACAAGGAAATGTTGAAAGATATTGCAGAATAACTAGAATTGGACGAACGGTGTCAGATCAAGTGGGAGCTATAAAAAAAAGCCTAAGTTGGCATAGGCAGGGCATAGCATAACATAACACAGCATATATTGTGTCAAAAATTATACTGTTAACGTATCATCCATTCTTTATTATATAGACATCCTGTATAAAAGATAGAGCTATAAGTGCTTTGTTAAATCTTTTTCTTAAAGCGACTCGTTCAGTGAGGGTCATTTGGTTTCGACCTCTGCAAACGTTTTTTTTTGTGCAGATTTTATATCGGGGAATACCAAATTAAATTTATTTTTGAAAGCCTAAATTGATAACGAGAAACGTATTATGACTCTGCGATTTGTGGCACATCTGCGATGGATCCTTTATTGTGGTTAGTGTGGTTACAGATCTTCAATATCGATTGACTTTTATGTAAAACTTTTTTTCTATTATGTACTAAATGATTATGTAATGGATGTCCGTCGGTGCCTGTACATTCTTCTTGGCTGTATTGTCAATTTGTCCACACAGTTTAAAAAAACGAAATAAATAAAATCAACAATTTTAAAGCAAATTTTGCAAAGTTTTGTTTTGAACATTGAGGTAACAGTTTTACACACACTAGACGCAAGCGTAGAAAAATTTATTTCTTGTAAATAATTTATAAATAAAACCATAAATCTTCAAATTCTTGACTGAACGTTTGAATCCAATCTGAATTATTAGTCAAAACGACTGTCTCAAAATTCTTGCACATCGCTTGGGCCGTTAAGTTCAAGCTTCCGAAAAACATTTTTGCCAATTGGGGGTGGTTTTCGTCGATGAGGCAAAATTTGTGGTGCAACATGACGTCAGTAGAGTCAGGCATTTTATAAAAAACTCCTAAAACAATTGACGGTGATTATTTCTTAATACTTCATACTTATCTCAAATCTATTAATTGATTGTTGACCATAACTGAACTGGGATCAATTAATAAAAATAATTCCGAATAACTATCTAAAACGGTAAAATCCAGCATCAAGAAAAGTTAAGTCTTTTAATGCCTTTTAATAATGGAAATGAAATGAAAAGATCTAAGATATTTCAATTTGTTCCCGCCTTAACAGAAACATTCTTAACTAATTTCACAATTTTAATAAAATTAAATTCTTGAGAAATATTTTTATGGGTATTCAACTCCAAATTTTTTAAAATGCGAGTTTGAAGTTACTATTGCAACATCAACCTTTCTAATTACCTCAAATGAAATATATTAACTAGATGTTTTAAAAGGTTTATTCATGTACCCAACAATCTTAATGTTGGAATTTGAACATCAACTTTTAAGTGTCAACTCTCAGATTTTCTAAGAAAGTTTGAGGACTGATTAAGATCTCTTAAATTTTTTCATAAACAGTAACTTTTTTCTCAATTTACCCAAGCTGTATCTGTCGTTGTTTTGGATATTCTAGTGGTATGCACTTTAACAGTAAATTACCCTGTGTATAAAAATTACAACAATGAGGATCTTTTATACAATTATTTTTTTGCGCTTTCTAGATGCATTTTTTAAAGAACACATATTAAACCAATTACTCCATTTATCAAAATCCTTCAAACTGGCTAGTGTTGGGGTAGTCTGAGACATTGCTTTGTCCATGATAACTCTTACATTGACTCCTCTACGAGCAGCATTTACAAGCACTGTTGATACCTGTTTTAAAGTCAACATATACATGCACATACTGATACTGTGTTTGGCGCTCTCTATAAATTTCAACAGTCTTATTAAATGAACGTATGAGCACGCGTCTCCACACTCATTTTTATTCAGAAAATGAGTTCTGCAATTAAAGTTCTTGTAATCGAAAAAAATGCACTGATAATAGCTGTTGTCATCGGCATTTTGAAGTTTCGAGGTGAATTTTCGATAACGTTTACTCAAAAAATAGCTTATTATTAGCGGGACAGTGGAAAAAGTAAAAAATATTGAAACACAAATAAACTTCTTCATAATTAATGCAAGCTTGATTTGGTTAAGGTTACGAGCACGGCTAAAATATTTGAAAATCTCAATGAATAACGGCCAAAGGCGAATGATCCTGATAAACTTGCCCAACTTTTATGTAAACCTTGCAAAAAATTCGATTTATTTTTCATCTTGGGTAGCGACGTCACATTGGAAACCGATTTATGCGTTTGTGTTCCCTGATCAAGTCGTTTGACTCTTTTGATACTGTTTGACTTTTGACGGCTTAAAAGGTAAATTTTTCTTACAGTGTAACTAATAGCAAATGTCAAATAAATTAAGGTTAAACAATTGAAGAAATGCAAATTTAACATTAACAATCTTGACATAATATATATTTTTAGGTTAGAACATGTGTATTTAATATACAATCAGCTAAACATAACATAATCCACTCCTTCCTTCAGATTCAAAGTTTTTAAATTTTTCTCAAAAACTCCCTCCGTAAGGTCCTGAAAAGATAATGCATGTCAAAAAGCACTTATCCAGACTAATTTTATGACCTACAATTTTCATACAAATAACAAAGGGTGGTACTGCATCTTTGAAGTGTATAATGTCTACCTCTTTGCCCATTTTCCTCTGTACCGCATCATATGAAGCATACCTTTTTCCAATTTTATTTAAATCTACATCACAGAAAGCTAATACCTTGTCCCTATTTTCTAATGACAAACTATTATAGAACTTCCGACCTTGTTTCCCCGCATTCCATATTGTAAATTTTGTCCAATTTGCAAGGTGTACCCTTTCAAGTCTTTCCAGCCTTAGACTCCAAATTGTATCCCTTAAGCAATAACAAAAACAATGTTTTTTATGGGTGTCACATACCACACTCACTCGGCTATGGAAAAGGTTGTTTGATTGGGATGAAATGTATAAATCAACAGTATGTCATCAACTCTAATAATTTTGCCTCCAAGGTCCAAATGCTTATTGAAAAACACCAAATCTTCTGGAGTACCCTTTTTACTTTCGAAAAAACCTCCCACTCTTGAAAGATTGAGATTAAAAGTTGAACAATTGATGAGCAATAACATTACCTCACAAAAACATCTTTATGACAAAACCAGGTGGGCATTATAACAGTGGGGCCGTGAGATGTAAAAACTTGCAAATTTAATTGCTCCTGTGTTAGGGAATTGGCCCATTTTGTATATCTTATAGTAGAATTGTCAGGTTCTCTTTTAAACTGGCAACCTACAATCTGCAAATATAGTAAACACCTTGAATTCAAATCAACCTTTGCATTTTTTACCACATTGTTTGGACTTTTTAACGCAACTTCAAATTGTTTCAGAATTCTGTTGGGTAGCATTACATCATCCTGCAAGAAATGTTGGTAAATGTAACAAAATGAATGAGAAAGACACATACAATATCCTGGAAGCACAGATAACTGCCTCGGCTCAAGGAAATTGCCTGATTTTTAGCAAACCCAACTAAAATTTTTTAAAAATGTATCCAAGGAAAATGTAAAATAAATGTAATTACCGCCTTTGGGTTCTCCACTTTGGTTTCTGATTACGTTAAGTCGAACATCATGTGAGGAAAATATATTTCTCCATTCTAGTAGTAGTCTGGAAGTATCATCTGTACTTCCGTCATCACACACGCAAATTTCTATATTTAAAATGCTGATAGCGGATTGTTTTAATATACTTTGAAAACAACGATTAATCCAGGGTGCCCCATTGTATACAGGTATAATGATACTCTAAAAAGTTGTAAGTTGATTAAACTTTTTTAAATAATAAAAGTCCTACTACTTACAGTCATGTGATTTCCTTCATCCATATTTTAAACATATTCGTGGTAGCGTAAATAATTAGTTTGTTATTACACGATTATGAGAATTTGTTGGGCAAACATAATACTGCTCGGTATTGTACAAGTTCATTAAAAATAATTTACATTACGTGTTTCAGTGAATTTTAGGTTAAGAGACACCATTCTTCTTCCATTGCTTTATATGGCTAAAATTGCATTGATCCTCATGCGTATGCTGAAGCCTGCTTTTCTAAAGGAAATGTGGCACAACATCATTAGAAGAAGAAAAAGCAATTATTTGCCACTGGATGACATATGATTTGTATTTGATTTAAAAGACGTCAAAATCCAAGAAAAACGTATATTGATTTCCTGTTCTATTGGCACTAGCTACTCAAAGGTTTTAAATGTCTGGTGCTAATCCTTTTGCTGCGTTGTTTCAAAGAACTAGCGAAGATAATTCGGTAGAAGATAAATCCAACGAAACAGGCGAACCGCCTTTGAATGATATTCTAGAAGACATTTTTAGTTTTACATTAAATCCCAATCACTCTGAAGCGCGAGAGTTATTTTACTTAGAAGATGTTAGCCAAGCGCAAGATTCTAAAGAGTTAAATGTGGAGCTACTTAACCATGCCTTATTTGATAGATTATTCATGTGTCAGAAAGATAATATAAACATTATTCAGCATGTAAGGAAGGGTTTCAGGAATGGACATGCTACAGAATATAGACCAGTGTATTACCTTTATAAAGCCTACATTAAGTTGCATGACAACAATTATTTAAAGTCTGAATACAAACTGGATGTTAAAGACAAGATAATTCAAAATGTTGCCATAACAATTATACAACCAGAAATTTACTCTGACCAGGATATTGATGCACAAATGTTGGAAATTTTGAAAAAAGGGGGACCCCATTATGATACTTTTTTTGTTGAGGCTGCTAGAAGGATTATTGATGAAGAAAATAGTGGTAAAAATATTTTATTTTCCTTATTTCTGCCCTATCTTGTAAAGTAATTGTAAAAACTTGGGATGAAAAAAAACTATAACCAAGGCGCACAAGAGAAAATGCTGGAGTTTTTTAACAAATATCTGAAATGGTAATGGTAAATAAATTATATTCTAAAAGGTAATTTATTTCAACTTTAAAATTGTGCTCATTTTAGTTATCATAGATGTAAAATTATTTGTAAAAAAGAGGCTTAAAATTCAGGAATGCGATTGCGCTCTCTGGCGGCCATTCTAGAAATAAGTTTCAGCGTTTTCTCATGGTCACTTTAGTCATAAGTTTTGGTTAGTTCTTAATTGTCCTCCCATGCATTGACATTTTTATTTTTTAGATGACATTATTTTAAGATCTTTTATCGAGTCAATGAATAAAAAGATTACCGTGGAGATCAATAAGATGTCATTAGTTAATGTTGATTTTCGAATCTTCAATTATCTTTCTGTTTTTACCGCAAATGAATTCTTGGCATCATTTTTTATTGATGCTTGTGGTCCAAACAGAATCCACATTGGATCTGATTATGCGAACACTGCTATTGGATCATTGTTCAGTTTATCTGTATTACCAAAGACACCTAATGGAGTCTTTGAGCATTTTACTGACCCTACCGATCAGGTATATGCTTGTCTTTGCCAACCAATTTGCGTTGTCACCGGAAATTATATTTGTTTCATGTAGCAACAAGCGTTTCTTGGAAATTCTCGAGCGGAGGGACTTCTATGGACCAGTGTTGACAAGCTTAATGAACACATCCATTCATTTCTGCTCGTTCTATTGAAATGCAGTCCCAAAGTTAAAAATTCAACTTTGAGTTGGTTAGGTTTATGCTTGAAAGCTAACGTCGACCGAGGGAAACTTTGGAATTCCCAAGCACCCCCCGAACTGAACCCTGCCAACTATACCACTGTGTCCGATGGATTTATGTTGAACTTTTGTTCCATCATGTTGAGGTTATGTCGGCCGTTTTGCAACAACCTTAAGGACAAGAAAATTTTAAAGGTCGATCCGACTTACCCTGCGGTTGCGGTAAATAAATTTAATTCGCCCCAAATATCAGGTTGTTTTTTTTTCTCTGTTTGCATTGCAGAATGATAAGGCCGAATCCAAAGGTGTGCATATGCACGATTTATCTTCGGAAACGTGTTTTATTCCAGTGGCGTCGACGGATGAGTTGGAGGAAGAGAGATTAACTTCCAGCCAGTATAGTTTTATAACTGAATGCTTTTTTATGTCTCATAAGGCCCTAGACTTAGGTTTCAGGGTCGGGGTTGACAGGATTATGAAACTAAGCCATGTATAAGACATCTCACATAAGTAATCTATTTATTTATAAATACTGTGTTTATTAGGAAATTGCTAGAATGGAAAGGGTATACAGAGATGCGCTTATGCAGTCTGGGGCTGAGAACGCGATGCCAATTGGGGACAGACTAAAGGCGGAACTTACAAAGTAATTGTCGACGGGTATATGGGCGCCTCTAAAACTGATCCGTGTTGCTTTTTAGACTTTTATCATTGAAATGTGTACTGTCGGAACCTATACTGCTGAAAGATATGTTTGATTTTTTGTCGGCCACCACTTACTGGTTAACACAGGTCGCAATAAGGAACGATTTAGACGAAGGCCCCAGCTATGCTCCCTTAAAAGAATTGAAAGTTACATTCCCGTTGTCGAATAAAATTCCGGATACACTCAAGTAAGTGAACCAGCAAGTGGCCAGGTATCATATTTCCTGAACTAGTTTTAATTTTCTTTGAAATCGCGACCAACAGAGCTTTATTTTTTTTTTTTTGAGCGGTGACGATTGGTTTTGTTTTTTGGCATTTTTTTGCGATTTTAAAGATTTCTGCTATCACTTTTTAAAATCCGGTGGTAGCGTGCATCTATGAGATTTTATGAGTGCGACCTTTGACAAAGCTAACCTTTCAACGAGCACAGAAAATAGCCAGCTTCGTCCACCATAATTAAAAGATTACTTCGTCCAGACTAAGCTTAGCTAGTTTGAAACAAAAAATTACAAAAAATAAAATAAAAAATTTTCCAACTTTAGGGGAAAGTCTATCCATTTTTTGAGTAAATCTTTCTATATTAATTGTGATTGTTGGAAATATTTCTTAGTACCATCTCATAACAAGTTTATATATAAAAATGTTGCATAAACTCCGGTCGGAGCAGTTGTCCAGTTACGTCACGTATGATTCCTATGTCTTAGCTATATTGCTACCACTTTCAGATGCGTTCCGATTTTAATTCATTCATTAATTTAAAGTAGGTACGTTCAGATATACAATCCTAAAAACCAAATTAAAATTCTATTTTGTGAGGGTTTTTGACGTTAGCCATCTTGTTATAAATGGTAGAACCTACTAGAAACACGGTGCTACATACTTAGGTACATATTATGATTTTATTATAATGAGATTCTGGCAACTTGGTTCGGAGGCGTATTAATACGAACAGATAAAATAAAACGCATCAAATATATAGATGAAAACAAATATCTGAGTCTGAGTCATGCATATCCATCACAACTGGGACAATATTATGGTTATGAATACTCCATCAGAAATATTTTCATTATTTTACTTGAGCAAGTGCTTCAGGCCATAATTACAGTACAGCCTCAGATGTTACGAGATTTATGGAATCTATTTTGGCATCATAATACCGTTTTTAATCTGACCAAACCACCTTTATGGCATTAAATTCAACGCCATGGCGACACCAACCGAAAAGAGCTTAGCTTCCGCCCCCTGCGCGCGTTTTTTTACACTTTATTAATAATTTCTTTTTATGCAACCCTCTATGACTAATAGTTTCCTAATTTTAGGACTTTGGGTTTTTATCTAGCCATCCTGTACATAAATTTCACCCTTTCCATGCAATTTTTGCCTTTTTTAAAGAGTGATAATTTTTTCCTCGAAAATAATAATACAGACAGTATCAGATAATTTTCCTAGCCTTACGGTTGCATAGGAGGAATTGAAAACAATAACAAAAAGTTTCTTAGCAAGCAATAAATGAAAACGTTTTCTACATTTGGATATAAAAATAGTATACAAGAAAAAAAACAAAAACTAATTAAAAAAATTAAAACAATCATCAAATCTTTCAAATAAGTTTAAGCTTAAGTATTTTAATTCTTCCGGAACTCCATTCTACAATTTGAAGACGTTACAAGAGAAAGATCTCTGAAAGAGGGTTAGTTGATGCCATGGAACCGATATTAAGTCATTATTGTGAATCGACGGAGAAGATGAAATCATCTGCGTAAATGTGTACGTTTCAAAATCAGAAATAAGATATTATGTCACAAATTTAGAAGACGTCCAAGGATCGGACCTTGTGTCCTTAAGCTCAATATATTGAAGTCTGTTACTGAGATAATTGCATAATAGGTGTATAGGTCTCTCTGAAAAGCCCACAAAATATAAAATTGCAACTCGTGGTTTAATCTGCCCAAGAGTATTAGGGCCGTCCCTTGACTTTTATCAGCGGCTCTAATTATGTCATCCCTGACATTTAGTAATGGGATTGCACAACCAAATCTCTGTCTAAAACACGAATTATTTAAAGGAAGTTTATTGTATTTTTTACTTTTGATAATACTGGGAATCAGTCTCAAGTCACTAACATTTGAGATTCCGGACTTTTTAGGCAGTGGAATTACTTTCGACATTTTCCGCTTCTCCGAAAACACTTTTTCTAATAGACAGGATGTGACAATATTATTCAGAAAAGAGAAAATTTTCGGTCAGCTCAAAAGGACCGTATTAACATTTAATTCAATTAATTCAACTTTCTAATATTCTCTTCATCAACTGTGTAAAACTGAAATGGCACTTCAAAATCTGTTTTACAATGATTTTTCTAATTATCCAAGAGCTGTTTATTCAATGACGAATTGCGAGCTGACGAGAGCAAAAAACTTGTTTATTTTATTAGTATCGCTCAAAAATTCGGGTATTTCATTTTAGGTTTTTTTGTGTGTATATATAATTTTTTTCCTAAGAATCTTGGAATTATTTACATTACTATTCACACTATTTTCAGTGGATGTAGTTTTCGTCGTGGAAAACGAATTTGATTTTTTAAAAAACTTTATTCAAGCGAGATGACAAAAAAGCTAGCGACGTGGTTCGCACCGTGGTTTTATACAGACAAATTGCTGACGCTTTGAGAAACAAGTAATATAATATGTATGGGAACCTTTACTCAGCAGTTTACAGTATTAAAGCGTTTATAACTCCTCCGCCCTTAGATAAAAGCACGGGTACAACAAGTGCTTTTAAATAACAATATTTTCTTTTTGTTTATTAATTTTAGATTTAAATGGAAAATATTTATATAATAAATAAATCAAGATTAATATAAGTATTACGTATAACAAAATTGTCCAAACACTAGTTCTCGTAGAATATATACGTGATGACATCTTTCCAAGGTTTTCTTTTGCTTCATCCATTTGGATTTGCAGCTCCTTTATTTCCTTTAGGTTAATCGTGTCCAATGTGAGTTCTGGTGGATCGAAGATTATTTTCTGTTTATGTAGTAGTGAGAGATTCACTTCCGGTAGACGAGTGTCATCAAATCTCAATCGATTAGGGGTATAGGTTCTTAGTTCAGTTTTTCCAATTTGTACTTTGCAAATTGGGGAGGATTCGATAAGGTGGGATCCAAATAATGGAACAGTATTAATGTCGTCATTACATTGTACTGTTGCTATTATCTTCTTAGGTGTCACAATAATCCATTTTCCATTTTGGATTTTAAAAATTTTTATTTCTTGAAGTTGGATTTTAATTGGTTTACAGTTTGTTATATTAGTCTTGTGAGTTATTATTTCCACTGAACAAGGCGGGTGTTCCTTCATATAGGTAATATGTATATTTTTACACATGAACTCATTTTTTAATAGTTTTACGCATTCAGAGTCCATAAATGAGTACATATTTCCACTCAATGCAAGATATGGTTTGACCGGTATATTAACGTAATATTGCAGTTCTTGTTCACTATTAACTGGTAGCGGATACAACTGGTAATATTGATAAATTTCTGATTCTAGTAGCGGTAGTTCCAAAATAAATGTTATTATTAGTCCTCTAGAGTAGCTTTTTATTTCTATAATTTTTTCAAAATTTAATATATTTTCGATAGATAACTCGAACGGCAGTTGATTTTCTTTTAATTCTTTTTTTATGTTTTTAATTTCTTCGAATAGATCAGACGGATCAATTATCGAATTATGTAAAGTGTTTAATTTGGCAAAACTAATTGCGGTTTCAATTTTCTCAAAAATATTATATATTAAATTATACATAAAGGTAATTTGATTCATTACTACATGTATTTGGAAATACTCATAGTCATTCGTTTGTTCAATGGTTATCTTTTTAATTACTTGATCAATTTGTAATATTTTAGATTTAAGGATAAGTTGGTTATGAGAAATATTTGATATCGAATTTTTAAATGAGTTGATTGTTTTTTCTAACAGTTTTATTTGATTAATTGAATTGATTCTTAAATTATTTTGGTTTTCTTGCAGTTGTTTGATTTCTACATCGTATTTTTCCGCATCAGATTGGTCTAAGTTTCCAGTAATACATTTAATAATAGAACCGATTGGGTTTAATAAGCCTCTTTTACTTCTTATAGATAATGGATTGAGTTGACTAATTTGATTTTCAATGCGTTTTTCTAATGTTACAAGAGGGATGACTGAATTAGAATATTCGTGAAAATAATTAGTATTATTTTTAATCTGACTAATTAATATTTTTACTTGATTATAGATTACATAGAATTCAGCAACAGCTGGGTTTAAATCAAAAATTTGTATAAAGGAAAAATGGTTGGAGGTTATTTTTGCGGTACCTAGTTTATAAGGAAGGTCCTGGATAGTTGTTCAGGTTGTGGATTTTTACTTCGTTTGCTCCGATGTTTGTGAGCCATCTGGAACAATGTTCATTATTTTAGTCTCGTTAACGTGAGTTATTTCTTTTTTATTTGTTTTTGGGTTTTCTATTTCAATTTTATTGTTATCTAAAATTTTTGTTAATATGAATGGTCCAGAAAATTTTTTGTTTAATTTACTTTTTCGACTTTCGGTGCGCTTATACACTGTTGCGCCAATTTTTAGTTCTACTGGAGTTTTGTTTTTGTTAATTTTATCGATCGTTTTTTGTTTTTTTAAAAGGGAATCATTATGTACCTTTTCGTAAAGAAGCTTAGTATTTGTTTGATGGTTATTTACGTATTCACAATATATTTGAGAAGGAATTAGGTTCATAGGGTCACGTGTATCAGTGTGTCCTAGTGTTAATTCAAAAGGCGTAAAATTAGTATTTGAGTGTATAGTACTGTTATATGCAATGATCGCATAGGGCATAAGTGAAATAATATCGGAATTTTTATCTATTTCTTTCAATAGGCGTAAGTGTTCGATGAGGGTTGAGTGAAAACGTTCGATAGGTGAATTGGATTCGTGGTGACTCGGCGTTGTGAAATGGATTTTAATTTTATGTATTTTTAATAAAGAGTCTAGGACGTCATTTTTAAATTCTGTTCCGTTGTCAGAAACAATTTGTTTTGGTATTCCATAGAATGAAAAGAAATGTACTAATTGTTGACATGCTGAAATCGCAGTTCCAAAATAGGGCAATGCCTGTCCAAACTTAGAGAATTTGTCGA